TTTTTTTTTCTTTTTCTTTTAGGAGGGGGGTCTTGAACTAAACTTGACCCGGCCTCTCCTTCTACCTTGTCTATATTTGCCCAATCAAACGTCCCAGTTTTGTTTTCCCTCCCAGCTGTTATTCGTTCAGCCTGAAAAGTCCAGATGGCGAAGACTCAGGCACACACTTACAAACATTAGCGTGCTCACACATGTACATATTTACACAAACCTACACACACATTCCTTCATGGTTTTTTACCATTACTTTCTCTTTTCTCTCTCATTACTGATAAAAAGCCCCAAACAACCACTTTTTTGATAAAGTTTTTATGGGCGCTTTTTTGCCTTACCCACACCATCTTTAAAGAACCTCTGGTTGACCTTTTTTTGACAGTTTTTCTATTTTCAGGGAGCGAGAAAGCATCGGTCCCTTCCCAAGGCTTTGCGTATGTCGTTCCTTTTTTTTTTTTAATCTGTTGGCCTTAATGGAGGTCGGTTGATGTCTTTACCTCCTTATTGGGTGTGTTTTAAATTGATATCACACTCCTGATCCCATTGGTGGATCCGAAAGGGTTGGGGATATCTTATTGCCACGGCAATATCTTTGTCACATTTAATCTTGGAAAACGTGATTTGCTCCTTAATGTAACTACATCTCAATTTTCAGCGAAGACTTTTTTTTTTCAAAATGCTGTATTTATGACTGAATTTCTCCATATTTTGGCTGCTTGGTTTATTTGTTTCTGCCTTGCATGAAGACTACATTCTCTGTTCTTGTAGGTTTTGTATTCCGTTTTTTTTTTTTTTTTTTTTTTTTGTTTTGTTTTTGTTCTCTTCCCATTTCTAAATCCGGAAACTGACCCCTGTTTTGGCCAGATTTTTGCTGACAGTGGTAGAAACTTGTTAATGTTGCTCTACAGATTCAGCTCCCTGTGTTCTTCATACAGAGTTCAGCTTGTTTTTTGCTGAAAACTCCCTCAGACTCATTTGTTCTCTCTGCAGTTACCATTTATATGTTGATGTATTTATGTGCTATACCCAATTTACCTGACATCTTCCACTTCTGTGTGATTGCTCTTTCTTCCTCTCTGTCTTTCTTGTGTGACTCTCTCTCTGTCTTCTATGCTTTCTCTCCATCCCTCCATCCATCCAGGTGCCCTCCAGATAGAGATGAGTGAGGAGTCAGACCAGGGGAAGTATGAGTGTGTTGCCACCAACAGCGATGGGACACGCTATTCTACCCCAGCTAACCTCTATGTCAGAGGTAAGCGTGGCATAGAAAAACAACCTGTGAGGAACTTGGTCTAATTAGAGCACACAGATTTAAGGATCCCAGTGAATATGGATGTGCAATCTGTTGATTTAAGATACAGTGTTGACATTTTTTTCTGTGTATTTTATGCTGTATTTTATATTCTTTTAGGCTGTAGATTCATACAACAGGATAGCTTTAGAGTTATTTACATCAAGTTAAGGTCAGGCTGAGCGTTTTACTCGAGCCGTTAATCTCACTGCCCTCCCTTCTTAGCCTTTAGACCTCAGAGAAAAACCAAATCATTGTCTGGTCAAGACTTTTCTGTTTCTCCCCAAATCTGACAGGCATCTCACCTCCTCAGGCGCCATCTCCTCTCCCTGCTCCTTCGACACACTCACATTCGCGCGCATACCCACAAAATGTTTGAGTCTCTGAGACATTTTTATTCCCGGGGCCTTTTGCTCTGTTGTCTGCCCACCCAAAAAAAAAGCCTTTAAACAGTGTAGCATGCTTTTCTGACTCCAACATTGCTCCTGGGGCTACGAGACAAACACACACACACGATTAGATGCACACACTTGAGTACACACATCTATGTCATACACTCGATATACAGGTATATAAAACACACGTGCGTGCAAACACACACACACACACACACATGCACAAACAGCATGGAGTCAGTGATGTGCGTCTAACAGTGCTTGCAGGGCCAGTAAAATCTAGCAGTGCTGCTCAGTGAGTGTTTGACAGGCAGTCTTTGGAGACAGCTGGCAGCAGAGGCCGCCTCAAACGGGAAGGCTTTCGCCAATATTGGCCATCTTTGGTCTCCACTTTCTCCTCTTTCCTCTTCTCACGTCATTCTTTTCTCTTTCTTCCACTCCCTCTCTTTGGTTTTCCGCCCCTGTCACTTGCCACCTTGCCATGTTCCTTTGTCTAACTGTAGGGTAGGAAATAATTATTATTAATAATAAATACTTCCAACAGAAGGCAAATTATTGCATTAATTAAAATTATTAACACCAACCTTTAAATTATTCGTCCAGCGATATAATCTCAGAGTCAGCACAATAATTCTAATAAATTGTTTTCTCTCGGTGATCAGTCAAGAGTGTTTTATAATGTTAGGGAATTAACTTTGAGCTCAGGTAATTATAAAGGTCGGATACGTAAAGTGACTGAAAGTAAGCTATAGAAAACACAGGAAACAACTGTATACGCACAAAACATTTATTGCTAACTAAAACAAACAAATAACAACATAAAACATAAAATACAAACAATGATGAAAATGCTGAGTGAGAATCTGAGAGTGAAAAACCAAATATAGATCAGGAGTGTGGCTCTGAGGCTTGAAACATCTTTTCACCCGAAGCAGCAGATAATCTGTTAAATTTGGAATGTTTGTTTGAAGGCCAATTATAATTATGAAACACCCGTTTAGAGATGGAAAGCTCAATACTTGCAGTTTCCTTGGATTTGGGTGTGGATGCCGTCATGTCTGGTGTTGGGAGAGACGAGGCCTTCAGCTTCCGAGAGTGAGATCAGGGTGTGGCAGTTGAAGTTGATAACAAAAAGAATAAAGTGGGACACTCTGTGTTTGGTAGAAAATCCACGTTTTTTCGGGTGAAATGCCTTTTAGTATTAAAACAACTGACCAATCACAAAGAGCTCCCCTCCCAGAAGGGGTGATAGATATGACGCCCCTGTGTTCAAAGGGGGTCATAAGGTGGTCAGAGTTTTGTTCTGAAAGTAACAATGTTACTTTAGAACTATATGTACTTGTAATTATACAGAGTTAAACCTACTGAAAATAAATATATCATATCTAGTGGATCGCAAAGAGTCTAAACATGATATATCTATCTTGCACGGTTACCAAGATAATACAGTACTAGGATATATGATTATGTACCAAGCTGATAAATTAAAGAAGGACTTGTCCAACTGTAATTCAGCTTTTGAGTTGTTTATCATGATATGATGTACTTCCACATTTAATAACAATTAAACATAAGATAGTAAGGCACATTTTGATCCTCCGGTGCTTTCTTCCCATTGTCTATGTTGATTACATTCCTTTACGTCCAGATGGTTGCATTCCACAGAAAGGAGGAGTGAGCAATAAATATTCAGCCAGACGTCATTTGTTAGGATCCTTGTGGCTGAATGTTTTCCTTAGTCTTCTCCGAAAGGTGTCTCTGTTACAATCCTTTGAAGTTCTGACATGTGTGATAAGGTAATTTACAAGTTCTCTGGTTCTCTGGGCTCTGGTTGTCCTGGCCCTGGCTCCAGCCCATCTGCAAGGCTGATCTACACACACTTATGACCTGCAGGAAAGTCCTGTGTCCCACAGCATGTGAATGTGAGCTGGAAAGTTCTGTCTTTTGGGGATCTGTGGTTGTTCATATCCTACAAACTCTTTTTCTCTCCTTGTCTCCTGTCTCTTCTTTGATATTTTCCGTTTTCCTCTCTTTTCTCCCCTCCTCCTCCCGCCATGCTTTGTCCTACCTCCCATTGCAGAGCTTCGAGAAGGTTGGTACAGTAACAACTGTGTGGCTCTTTTAAGTCTCTCCCGAGTATTTTCTTTTCTTCCATTAAAATGCCATTTGTGTTTGTGTGTCTTGGCTGTTTTATGTGCCGTACTGAAGCTTTAAACCTGCCTGTACAGTTCACTCCTTAGAGATATACTGTATGCTGTTTTTTTCCCTGTGAATGCATGCGTGTTTGCCATGGGTTGTTTTGTTTTTTTTCTTTCTTTCTTTTTGTATCTTTTGTGTTTCAGTTCATAAAATATTTAATGGAGCACACCTTAAAACAGCATTAATAAAACATTTTGGTATCACATGCACCTTAGTGGTGGTGTACCAGACTGTCTGGATGCTTGCAATCTAATCTGAATGCTATAAAACTTCATCTCAGAGCTCATGGCGCAACAACAACAAAAAATACAAAATCAAATAACCATCCTACAGTGTATAGACCCTCCACTGTTCTGCACAGTCATGAATTTCTAATTATCTCTTTCTTTCTCACCTTCCTGCCTTCATTGCTGCTTGGTCCAGTGCGTCGTGTCCCTCCTCGCTTCTCCATCCCCCCAGCCGACAGCGAGATCATGCCAGGGGGAAACGTCAACATCACCTGCGTGGCGGTTGGCTCACCCATGCCCTACGTGAAGTGGATGCTGGGAGCAGAAGACCTGACGCCCGAGGACGACATGCCCATCGGTCGCAACGTCCTGGAACTGACCGACGTGCGCCAGTCCAACAATTATACCTGTGTCGCCATGTCGACGCTTGGCGTCATTGAGGCGGTGGCACAGATTATTGTGAAAGGTGGGTTCTGAGGAGGCTTATGAGTGAGGGGATATTAATAGTTCAACATTTACTCAAGTGAAATAAAAAGAAATAGGACGTCAGACAGTAAAGAAACAGAGCACTTCAGGAGTGCTCTGTTTATACAACCTGATGGAAAAAATAATAACAAGCACACAAAAGTAAATAATGCATATAAGGAATACTATATATACTGTATCCTAAGCAGGATGGAAAATAACGTGTACACTGAAAAAACTTGAATATATTCAAAATTACTCAAAAGCACAAGCAGATACAAACATAGTTCTATCTGTTACAATATAACAGTATTCTTTTTCTAACTTATCTTGAAAGTTCGTAGGGAAGTAAAGATTTTTGGTGTTTTCTTGTGGTTTTTTGGAATTTTTAAATTTCTACTCAAGCATTTAAGAATTTAAGAAAAAGGTCCATTGTCTTCATGTCTTAATGTTGATACCGGTCACAGACTCATTTGTCTCCAGCCGCTGTTTCAATTTAGCACTGAGTCTGTGTTTAGTTTTTCATTATTTACGAGTTTTAATTTGAATTAAATATGTGACAGTTTGAAATGTCTTTGAAGTAATAGATTGCAAGTTTTTGAAAAGACTGGATTTGTTTTATCCAGTGGTCAAGATAATTTTGTTCATTTGTAGTTTTCAGTATTTTTAATTGCTGTATAGAGATTCTGGTATTGTTGTCATTCTGATGCTAAGCTGCCTTCATCATTTAATTGCTTTCAGCTTTTTCATTCAGGACAAGTTCAAGTTCCAAAATGTAACTTATTTTCAAACTATGAAGTGATAGTGCATGAAATCTTTTTCTCCCCCTCAGCTCTGCCAAAGGCTCCTGGCACCCCTGTGGTGACGGAGAGAACTGCAACCAGTATTACTCTCACCTGGGATTCTGGAAACCCTGAACCTGTCTCCTACTATATCATACAGGTGTGTGACAGAAACACTAGCACAATCACGTTTTACACTTGCCTACACTCTACCTACCGCACAGTGCTACCACCTGTGCTGGCAAGTTTCTGAGACGCAGAGCTTAAGATAGCTAAAGCAGTAGATTTTTATATCAACATAAACTGTTATTAACAGCCTAAGTCACTAAGTAGGGCTGTAAAAGAAAAGAGCCTCTTGTCTCTCCTGATGGTAATAAACTTTGCCAAATTGCTCAAATGAAATCTGGTGTCTTGTGAGTACTTTCTACCCACAAGGAGCTGTGAGCTGAGATGTAAGAATGAAACACGGACTGCTTAACCAGTGAAGACTAACTGCTCCATTCACAAAAAGCACTGCATCTACATTAGACATGTTGTTACATTGCACTCTATATATTTTGGCGTGAATCTAGATTGGTAAATAATGGCAGGGTGCAATGCAGTTTTTATGTCCTTATGGGATAAAATCATAGATTTTCCTCAAAAATTTGGCTAATGCAGCTTTAAATCAGTGTGTGCCTCTTCTCCCTTCCCGCTTCATCTCTTGTTTATTCTAGCATCGTGCCAAAGGCTCAGAGGACCCCTATAAAGAGATTGATGGCATTGCCACAACACGCTACAGTGTGGGCGGCCTCAGCCCTTACTCCCACTATGATTTCCGGGTGGCAGCTGTCAACACCATTGGCCAGGGCCCCTCTAGCGAGGTGGTGGAGGCTCGCACAGCGGAGCAGGCCCCCTCTTCTCCTCCTCGACAGGTCAGGATGACGCTCTGATTTTGGTACAGCCGAAAAACGTTATTACAGTGGTGTTGATGTGGTTTTCAAATATGGCATCTCAATTATCTGCATACAAGTTGCCTTCATTTCAGTGCATTTCAAGCTTGGCTGTTATACAAGATGATTTGCTGCCTGCTATTCTGACTGGCATAACACGGTGTTACATAAATCCTGTTTTCAGTGTGTAATTTTCAAACACTAATCTCAAGTTGCCTTCAGTTCTCGAAAAACTAGCCCAACTTTCTTCAGCAAAACTTGCTGCAGTGAAAATATGAAGCATTTTCCCCCAGCACAGTGTTGCTAAAGTTCTTCCTTTCTTTTGCTCTGCAGGTCATAGGCCGGATGCTGAGCGCCACAACAGCAATGATCCACTGGGATGAGCCAGAGGAACCTAACGGACAGGTGGTCGGCTACAGAGTGTACTACACTTCCGATAGCACGCTGCCAGTCAACCAGGTATCTCTCTGCAAGTGGCTTCCCTTAATGTCATTATTACTTTTTATTCATAAGAGATGACTACCTGTGTTGTCTAGGTGTGTAATACACAAGTGTGCATCTGTGCGTCTACTTGCATTCACACAATGTGTTTTGTGCCTGTGTCGTGCAGTGGGAGAAGCAGATGGTGCGCAGCGCCAACTTCATCACCATTCAGGATTTGACTCCTAACAAGACTTATTATATCAGAGTGCTGGCCTTCACCTCTGTAGGAGACGGACCCTTGTCGCAGGATCTGCAGATTATAGCCAAGACTGGAGGTAAGAAATGGAAAGCAAGGGAAGGATGTTCTTTTTTTTCGTGTATGCATTACACACAGATACAGTGCATCATGAAAAAAAATGCCAGCATATCACTCTTGCTAATCTTGTTCTTTAACTCTGTAGTTCCATCCCAACCATCGGAATTTAAAGGTGAAGCAAAGTCTGAGACCAGTATCCTGTTGTCCTGGGTGGCTCCTACACCTCAGGGAGGCCCAGACAACCAGATCACAGGATATGAACTGGTTTACCGAAGGGCAGATGACTCAGAGGAGGTAAGGATGAAGGGATGGTTGGCTGAAATGAGTGGACTAGTAATTGAACTGGCAGTTGGATGGATGATAACCAATTAAAGGATGGATGTATGAATGTATAGATGGGTGAGTATAGAGAAGACTGGAAAATTGGTCTAAAAATAAAAATTTAACTCTTGCCGTTGTGTCCAAATAGAAGAAAGTGACCTTCGAGCCGACCACCTCCTACCTGCTAAAGAACCTGAAGCCCTTCTCCACCTACACCTTTCAGCTGGCTGCCAAGAGCAAAAATGGAATTGGGGCTTATACCAATGAAGTGTCCATTGACACACCACAGACACGTAGGTCCACTCGCACTCACTGCAGTGTGTGAATGTGTGTGGGTGTGTGTGTGTGTGTGTGTGGGTGTGTTTGAGAGAAAGAGAGAAACAGGTCTCAGTTTTGACAATGCAAATAATAAAAGTCACTTAGATACTAAATCACAAGTAGAGTTACAACCAAATCTGAATGTATTATTTTCTGTGCCACAAACAGATTTTGACAAGATGCTTTTGTTGCTGTCTATGCATTGTCAAAAAGGGGCCCACATGAATTCAGACCTTAACTGACCTCAGAATTGATTCAACAAATATATAATACTGAATGATTTCCAGAACCTAACTTCAGAAACTGTTTTCCACAAATGTGGAGCAGTACCAACCAATTTGCTGATGATTGACAGCAATGCTTTATTTGTTGGCTACCGATCTGAGGTCTGTAAAAGATTCAGTAAAAACAAGGTAAGAAGCCAAAGGTTTGTAGATAGACGTGAGAACTCCAACATGGATCACAGAGGCTTGGGTAGGCTGTCAGGACAAGTAAGTTATGGGCAGGTATGTGTGTGTATATCAGCTCTAGTCAGTGTTTTTGTGTTGCATTTCTTTTAAGTCATTCACTCGTTTTCATGAATCAAACATTTCTGCCGAGCAGAAGTTGACACCCATCATTCAGTATCTTTGTTCAGTCATCTTGCTTTCTAGTCACAGGGTCATTTTTCATAAGAGCTTCTGTTCTCCAGTGTTTTGTTTTCATTTTATGTTTCTTTGTCTTTTGTTCTCTGTCTCTCGTCTGCTCAATTTCATCCCCATTCCTTCACGGCAAACCTCACTTCCTCACCTCTCCACCCACCAAAAACAACTTGCACACACAACCAAATAACATTTACCCAAACAACCCCTGCTGTACTTCCTCAAAAACTGGCCAATCAGTTCCTTCAGCACCTCCCCAGGACATCACATGCACCAGTCCCAGTTCTACCAGCATCCTGGTAAGTTGGGCTCCACCTCCTCTGGAGTTTCAGAATGGCATCATTACGGAATACTCCATCCAGTACTCCAATACGGAAGGCAACAAAACGACTAAAAGGATTGATGGAATTCCTCTGGAAAGTTCACCGTATCTCCTGGAAAACCTAGAGAAATGGACTGAGTATGGCATAACAGTACGGGCGCACACTGAAGCTGGGGAAGGACCAGAAAGTTTGCAGCTCCTTATCCGCACCGAGGAAGATGGTATGTTCCCTCCCAAAAAAAAACCCTCTCTTAGGATGGTCCGCTTCACTAACAGTGGCTCCCTTTAACTCACTAACATAGCGTTAATGAGCTCAAAGCACACTAAACTAACAACAAGCTTGTTCCACTGGCCAGTAGGGCATTTTGTCTGTCCTTGAGCTGCACTCTAAATGGATGATGCATTTAAGAACTACTGTCAGACCCTCGAGTTTTGAAAACCTTTCCTTTAGTCCTCATAACCACCAAAATAACCTCCAACATCCGGAAATATCCTCCTGCTACCCCTTCACCACTGCTTTTCTCTCGTCAACAGTTGCCCCTTTTTTCTCCAGCAGCCATTTTTATTCTTTTTTTTTTTTTTTACCAATATATTTTATCCACACCTTCCCCTTTCTTCTGCCCCTCCCTTCTCTTTGGGAAAAGGGATGAGATTTTCTTGCTCAAAGGTAACAATACTCCCACTAACAATAGGAAGACAAACCCTTTGGCTGTTGCTGTACCTTGGTCTCTCCTCACCTTGGCTTTTCTCACCGACCATCTGCCCTTCCGAATCCTTTCCAATTTCTTAACGGCTATTTGGATATCTTTTAGCTAACTTTATTCGGTGTGTTTTGTTCTACCTCGAGCAATCTGTGATATTTTTCGTGATATTTTTGATACGCATGCATAATATTTCATCCTCCCAGCATCTCCACTAAGAAATTTTTCTGACTCCAGCGTTCTTCAGAGTGCTTGTACGTGGGTCAGTCAGATAGCAAGAGGGGGCTGGAGGTTGTTTTTTTTTTTTTTTCTTAATTTTTTTCTTTTTTGGGGGGGAGAAGTGTAGTTCTTGGCAGCACGAGAAAGGTTTTTCTTGATAACAGTATTTTCTCTTTGACTGCTTGCCACTGTTTATAAGCCCCTGGCAACAAATCCTTTTCTATCTGCCATTCTTATCTTTCCCTACATTTGCTTCTTATCTTTCACTGCTTTTTTCCTCCATGTTTTTCCTCAAGCACTCTCATTTTTTTTTTTTTACTATTTTGACTTTTTTCCCAGACATCAGAGAAGTTTTAGACTTTTTGGAAGGTTGTATTTTTCCATTTTTCTGCTTTTGGGTACTTTTTTTTTTTTTTATCTTACCCTGAAACCAATTGTTTTTGGTTAGGCAAAAGAGTTCACTAAAGTGAAGGCCTTTACTTTAGAGGTTTGAGTGCCCATCAACTGTTACCCTTGACCTCTATCCCAAAATGCATTTTTAGTTCCAAGTGGTCCTCCGCGAGGGGTGGAGGCAGAGACTGTGAACGCCTCGGCCGTTAGGGTGAAATGGCGAGCACCGGCACCCGAACGGCAGCATGGTCAGGTCCGAGGCTACCAAGTCCATTATGTGAGGATGAACTACGGAGAACCTCAGGGTCAGCCCTTCATCAAGGACATCCTCATAGAGGACTCACAGGTACCACTAACATATACTCTTAACAGCTTAGAATCAAATGAAGGGTGTCAAGAACTATTTTATAAAAGCCAAATAAAGCCCCATGCAACATTATTTGTGAACAGCTTTTTAAACCGATCAGCCACAACATTTAGACCACCTGCCCAATATTATGTAGGTTATGTAGAATTATTTGGGTTGGGTTTCCGGGAGAGGCTTTGGTAGATCAGGCTTGTTCCAATGGATTCCACAGATGCTCACTCAGATTGGGATCTGGGGACTTTAGAGGCTGGGTCAAGGTCTTGAAATCTTGGTCATATTCCTCGAGCCTCTTCTAAGCAGTTTTTTTTTTTTTTTTGCAATGTGATGAGGCACATTGTGCTGTTGGTAGGGGTGTGCTTGATCTGGAACAATGTATAAGTGGATGGTATGTGTCAAAGTTGCATCTACTTGAATGTCAGAACCCAATATTTACCAGCAGAATATGGCATCGTACTGAGATGATCACTGTTATATGCTTCACCTGTCAGTGGTGTAAATGTTGTGGCTGATCAGCGTATATTATAGTGTCAATTTTGAGCTGTAGCCATGAAGAAATTAGGAGTTCTTTCCATGCATGGGCTTACCTGGACAAATTGTACAGATGCCAAAAACATCATGTTGCCATCTGGTTATCACTGTAAATAAAAAATCTACACAAACACAACAACACACGATGCAGTAGTCTGGAGCAGCAATCTGTTACCATCATTGTCAGCTTTCTCTCAGACAGATTAGCGAGCAGAACCCATCCCTAAGATTGTTTAAAGGATTTGCTGAGAGTCATATCTATCTGTTTAATATGAAGCTAATGCCAGAAGCCAGTAAGCTTAGCTTAGTGTCAATAATGGAAACAGGAATGTAAAAAAAAAATGTCCGGTTACCAGCACCTCAAACACTTAGTCACTTTAAGCTTTGTGTTGATGCTGTTTCCTCAAGCTTGTCCTAAATTAAACTAACCAGCTACAGGTTGTAGTTTAACATTTTGTGAACAGAAAATGCTGTAATAATACCATATTGGAGTCACTGCACTAGTTCTCCAACATTAAACTCGCAGTTACAACGACAACAAAGTCAATTTTGGCATCAAAAGTGTGGGAGGGCTGTCAAAAGAAAGCAAATGTAGACGTCTTATGTCAGCAGAAGAACATAATTATAAGCAGTTAATAAATGCTAAAATTCAACAAATATAGCACTATATCGATGAAGAATAGAATCATAAACTTCCACACATCCAATTCTGCAGTAAAGCAACTGTCAGTCACTCTTGCACACCTGTATAGTATATTTATGGTGTTTTTTTACCGAGCAATTTTCTTGCTAAGTAGTAAGACATGTTTTGTGTTATTTGAGTAAATTAAGAAATCTGTCTTTCTATGTTGTTTAATGAGAAACATGAGAATCTTTCCCATCATTACCTTTCCACCCACATAACGTGGTTGAGACAGCACTCTTGGCAAGAACGCAAATCAGCATACTTCACAATATGTTGATCTATTCCGTCAATAAATACTTAAGCTTCTGGTATTTACATAACTGCAGATGTGATCAGGTTAGACAGGCTTGTTTCTTATTATTTTAGGTATTATTTTTATCAAGAATAATTTGAAAACCTATATCAGGCCTTTGTTGCTTCCTATTTCTGTTAATTCCAACCAATATTTGTTTGGCAGTAAAAGATGTGTCTGCTACTTGACGGCAGAAATATGCAAATTAGCTTTTTTTTTGTTTTGTTTTGTTTTTTTGTTTTAGATCATATGCTAATACATTAAAAAAAATTTGTCTCTCATTTTCCCTCTTTATCTATACTGCTCTGTCGTTTAGTGGGAATATGACGACTCAACTGAATATGTGAGTAAACCTTTCTGTAAGCATTGTATTTGATAATAATAATAACAAAGCATGGAAAGTAGATGAGTCATATTTATGAGATTGTAGCTTTAAAATCTCCTCCAGAAGGAGCTCCCTTTTCCGTTTTTTGTCTTTTGTGTTATTCAGGATTTTTAATAAAGGATCCTGGAAAAACACAAAGATAAATATGAGTCATTTTGGGGTATCGGCAAAGTGTTGTGATTATTTATGAGATATATCTCCAGGCCCAGAGATGGAGAAAATATTATGTTTAGTGTGTAGATGGAGACAAATTCAAATGAGTTATGAGTGTCTGTGCAGTTAAATGTTGTTTTGTGTTGATTGTGAACATTTTCAGTTCTTATAATCTGATCAACTTGTGCAAAAGTCAGAGTTTTGTTGAAATAATCACAAACCATATCATCGGTACATTTCCCTGAAGCAGCAGCTGTATGAGCAATAAAAAAAGGGGAAAAGCAATATTTGTGTTGAAATGAGCTGAATCACTGTATGTACAAGAGCACTGTCAGACAAAAATGACAGATGCACCCTCAGTCATTGAGACCGTACCTTCTTGTCTCATTTTGACCACTCTGACCTTGTGTGTTTTCTTTATTAACGTGTTAAATTGCTCTTTATCCTAAGGGCACACGAAACTTGTTGACAAAGCTTTTTGTTCCGCAGGAGGTGGTGCTCGGAGACCTGAAGGCAGACACCTCCTACTCTGTATCAGTGGGGGCTTACACCGCCAAAGGCGATGGTGCTCGCAGCAAACCTGTGACTGTGTGCACTGCCATGCCACGTAAGTGTGTATACACAAACATAAAGAATGACACAGAGCTTAAAAAACACACACAGTGCACATAACTGGTAATGATCTTTGAGACTTTGGCATCACTGATGTTCATTAGAGGCCATTAAATCACTGACTTGGCTAAATCTCACTCAGTCACACCTTGCTGTGCCTGTGAGAAGCCAGTCATTTGGTGCCATATTAATCATATTCAGCAGTTTTGCTTGAGGTTATGAATAATGTGCTTTGTAATTACCCTCTAATTATCATCATTCTCGCTCTCCTTTTCTTCCTGTTTCTTTCCTTTCTAGTGCCTGAGAAACCCAAGTTGATGGTGAGTGCCACTGATTCAGGCACTGCTCTGCTCCAGTGGTACCCACCTCCCAACCCACCAACCCCGCTGCTGGGGTACCGCCTCACCTTCGGCCGTGTCGACGTCCTTCCCTTCACAGTGGTGGAGTTCCCCACCAAGGAAAACCGCTACACTGCCCAGGATATCCACAAGGGAGCTAACTATGTGTTCAAACTCTCGGCCCGTAACAAAATGGGCTACGGAGAGGAGGCTGTCAAAGAAGTGACCACTCCCGAAGATGCACCGAGTGGATACCCAGAAAATATTATCTCAGAAGAGGCTTCTGCCAACTCACTTTGGCTGGCATGGAAATCAGTCCCACTAATTGAGCAAAATGGGAAAATTGTGAAGTACTCGGTGCTGTATAAGGATATAAACAGTCGAGGGAACGCCTCAGAGGTTGTGGTGGCCGCTCCAAAGTCGAGTGTTTTGTTGGAGGGTCTGAGTGCCGATACTGTGTATGATGTCAGGGTGTGTGCATTCACAACTGTCGGTCCGGGGCCGTACAGCCCAAGTGTCCAGTTTAGGACGCAGCGGTTAGACCAAGGTAGGATCACACTCACATTCTTAACAACCCATCTTCACTGCTCAGGATGCAAAACAGGCCTCCTAACAGCACATTTGAGCATATCTTGTGCAAACCAAGTCCCACACACACACGCACACGGACACGGACACACAACATCTGGTGACAGCATCCTAAGTGTCCTTTTTCGTTGTCTTGTCACTGTAGCCTTAGACCCAACATCCTTTTCCCAAAGCAAGGTAAGAGTCTTGGGTCTTGGGCAAGTATCCCTATCCAGTCAGGCTAACTGTGTGTTGATCAGAGCAAATAGCTAGCTTGAGACTGGTACTAGAGAATGATGCGCAGGTAAGACCATTATGTTTGGTTCTGTAGACTGAATACCTTGGACTGTGCTATCTTATTCATGTTTCTCTTCTTTGTTCTTTCTTCTTTTGTGCCTTAGTTTTTGCCACAAACTTCAGAGTAAAGGCAGCCATGAAGAACTCTGTGCTGCTGTCCTGGGAGATCCGAGACAAGAACCCTGCCCAGCCATTTACTGTAAGATTTTTTTTATTGTACTGTCTTTAAAATAAGGGTTGGGACAAAAAAGCAGAAAAAATGATTTTTTTTATCTCTATCTCTTCTAACTGTTTGTTAGCTATGAAGCTCAACTCTTCTAGTTAGTAAAAGATGATAATCTTGGCAAGGCTGTAAAATTGATTAACAAAAATTAAACCTTGAGATACTGTTAAACCTTTAGTGCCTAATTGCCACAACCTGTATAAAAAATCTTTGTGTCTATATCTCTATGAGTCACAACTCAGTTAAACCTGAATACACACACGTTTCCCTCCTATTTTCAGATTTCATGTGAATTCCAAGAATATCACCGCATCTGGTGTCTACTGCAAATAAACATTCATAAACTGGAAATCACAGAAAAAAAATCATACACATAAATTAACAACTTTTTTTTCTTCAATTTCGAAGTAATTTGGGTACATTACAAACAGCTGCTAATAGTGAATTTAGCAAACTTTTAATGGTACAAAGTTACCAAAATGTAAAAAAAACATCAGCATTAAAACCATGTCTGAAGGTTTAGTGTAACCCACTAAATCCGTGGCAAAATTAGGCTTCCTATTTAGACCCCAAATGCGTTTGTGTTGCCAGATCCTGTATGGAAAGGGCCAGTCTGTGGAAGTAGACGGCAGGCAAACTCAGAAGCTGATCACTGGCTTGGAGCCAGACACACAGTACTCCTTTCTGCTCACCAACCGGGCCAACAGTGCTGGGGGCCTGCAGCACCGCGTCACCGCCACCACCGCTCCAGACATCCTGAAAACCAAACCCACTGTGGTGGGAAAGACCAACGCAGACGGCATGGTGACTGTGCAGCTCCCAACCGTGCAGACCACAGCTAAAGTCAGGTACCGATGAAGGAATGTGAAGAGAATAAAAGTGAAGGATTTGGATTATGGGAATGACCTGTTGTGTTGATTTTAAACAGTTACCTGAGCAGAATTTGCTCAAATTAAGCTGTTGTCAGATTAATTGTTCCATAGAGTATTTGAGCTCATTTCACTACTTCCTCCTGCTGCTGATATTCATTTATTGTTCTATCAGGAGGGATATCTCCGAGCTGGCAGCAAAGCAAGTCTGAGAACTCCCACAACAGGCCAAAGGAGACCACAAAGCTGATCATTTCATCTGCTTTTTGTAACCAAGAACAAATATATATACAAAGTGGAATCAGTCTTATGTGTTTAAAGAGCAGGATGAATCACTCCAGTGCTGCATGTTCTCACAGCCACTTTCCAGTAGTCTGTCTCTGCACATCTGAAGTGTTTTGGGGTGTTTTGTTTTTTTCCTAAACAGCATTTTACTATTTCGGTGTCAAGCATCCATCCCAGCTAAGACACTCTTATCTGAGAAGGCAACTGAAACAGCTGGATATAGAAATTATCCTATAAACATTTGTGTCTATCTGCATTGATAAAATACAAAACTCTGAAGATTTAAATTTATTTAAATTATAGGCGATATCCACTGTAGACCTGTAACAAATTCTTACTGTTTTATGATACAAAACAAGCTACATTCTGCTGTACCATGGAGCGCTGTAGTGCATTATCCACTGACAACACATGGTGGATTTGGGTGTCTGTGTCCTCAAAACTTGGTGGTTGCTTATGATCTGACTGTTTCTGAAAAATTCCCTGAGATGTTATTGTTTTTGTTCTTGTGTGTGGCTTCAGACATTGGCTTGTTTCCCCTGCAGAAGCCACATTGTTTAGATTTACACTGCTGCTCCTACAGCAGCTGCTACTCCTACAGCAGTATGCTGTATTAATGATACAATACTCAGTAGTTCTTAACAGTAGAAGATTAAAGGAAATAGCTTAAAGTTTTGAGAAATGAGCCTATTAATTTTCAGAGAGCTAGATGAGAAGATCAACACCGCTCTTGGTAAATATAGGCAATGACGCTATTGCCGGCAGCCACTGGCACTTGAAACAGTTCCTCTGTTTCTGACTAGAGGTAAGCTAAACTTAAATTCAGTAATTAAACAACTGAGTTCAGTTCTTCAGCTAACTAAGCAAAAAAAAATATACAACGGATTCAGAAAATATCGTGACCCATTCACTTTTTAGAAACTTTACTGTGTTGTATATTTTTTGTTTAGTTTTTGCTCAGCAATCTGCAGTGTGTATGACAAAGTATTCAGACACTTAATTCAGCACTTTGTAGAAACCCCTCTGTGAGCAATTAAAGCCTTTAAGGCAATTAAAGTCTTCTTGGATGAGTAAAACATCTGAGCACACCTGTGTTTCACTGTAGTCATTATACCCTCAACTGACCAGTCACCCTGCCACTGCTGCTGATTTGCACCCTGATAACATGGTGCTGCCACCACTGTGCTTCACCGTAGGGGATGGTATCGGCCAGGTGATAAGCAAGCCTGATGTTTGCCAACATAGTGCTCAGAAGTCTGACCAAAGAGTAAAGATTTTGTCTCATCACATCAGAGAATCTCCTTCCTAATGCTCTCAGAGTCTTTTAAATACTGTTTGTTTTATTCAAGAGCACATAATACTGCAGAGACGGTGATCCTTCCTAACAGTTCTCCTACCTCTACAGAGGATTTCTGAAGCTCTGTTAGCGTGGTCGTTGGGTTCTTGGTCACCTCCCTGACCAAGACCCTTCCAACTTAGTTTCTTGGTTTGGCTGGACAGCCAACTCTAGGAAGAGTTCAGGTGGTTCCAAACTTATTTTATTTCAAAATTATTGAGGGAACATTCAAAGTGGTTTTGTATCCTTGCACTGATCTGTGCCTCACCACAATCTTATCGTAGTTGTCTCCAGAGAATTCCTTGGACTTGGTGGCTTGTCTTTGTCTAGGCATGAGGTTGAATTGTAGGACCTTATGTGCATTTTTAAACTGTCCAGTCCATTCAGTGTGCCACAGGTGGACTTGAATCATCTTCTAGACCAAATATGTCAGACTCAAGGCCCGCAGGCCAAATTCGGCCCATCACGAGAGATGTGTGTTTCCTAAACTGAGACATTAGTGGGATTTACCTGATCTAAAATAACGTAATGTAATGTTATTTATGCTATAATAACACAGCAATGTGCCCAAACAGGGCTCCAGACTGCGACCAAAATGTTCTCATATGTGACCATTTCTGACCATTCGTGAATGTGTGAGCTGAAGTTTCACGTGGTCGCATTGTGCGAATGAACGATGATCATCAGGCTGATCTGGTTCCTTCAGTCGGCACAGGTAGCTGCTGCTCCAGGTGTTGTAGTTGGAAATAGTCAGATTTCTTCCCCATTGACTCAGTCTCTCTCTGCCTGACGGTAAAACAGTCAGTTTCACTGTTACTGTGTTCCAATGACACAACGATATATAGCGGATTATGTTTTTTTTTGTGTTTGTTTGTTTTTTTAAAGCAACACAGGAGGTGAGAGAGGGAGAGGTCCCACACACCTGATGGTGAAAGTGTTCAGGTGCAGGCAGACAGATCTCGACTGAGTCAGTTAGGAAGAAAAAGTAGCCCCACATTCAGTCTGGAAGATTCATGTTTTAACAATGATCACAATTCTGACTATATAGACATGATGGCCAGTGCTATGGACATTGAAAATGCGCTCAGCTCGTAGAAAAGTCCGTTCATAAAAACATCTGCTGAAAATGCTGCTAATAAAAAAACCTTTCAACTTGGGCAAATTTGTGTAGACAAATTCCAACAAATGTTTGGTCACTCACCTGTCAGAGGAGCTGCACTGCAGACACCTGGTAACATCTACCGGAAGCAGCATGTGATGTGTTTAGGGAACATCGGCAAAATGTAGTATCTACCGGAGCAGCATGAGAGGCGTTCAGGGAACATCGGTAAAATGTAGTATCTACCGAAGCAGCATGTGAGGTGTTTAGGGGACATTGGTAAAATATACCATCAACTCATACACATGTTCATGTACCAAATGATTAACTGGTGCGACCAACAAAGACAGTTGGCAGCACCAGTGCTACCATTGGAAAAGTTAGTCTGGAGCCCTGCTACATGTGTTTTACTTGTAGATAAAGGCATGCACAATCGTTGTACATATAATAAATAACAATCAAATGCAAAGACAATTATTTAACATTATGTAAAGGAGTCGTTACCTTTATACTGTCTTAGAATTACAACTGGCCCTTTGAGGGCAAACATAATGCTTATGACACCCCTGTTCGAGACACATTTAGGTGGACCAGGTGGACCGCTTTGTGTGGAACTACTCAGCATTTTAATCTCTTGTCTGAGGTCCCATACAATAAGTCTTGCATTTTTATTGGCTCTAGTTTTTAAAAGTCTACCCTCCAGGACAGATGTTTTTCTAAAATCTGGCTTTTATCCAGTTGCTGTACAGAAAGCATGAAAAGCTGTCAAAGGCTGGAAAACTACTTGTAGCTGGGTAAAGCCAGTCGAAGGCAAATCTCAGAGAGGTTTTTTGGCATTTTTGCCAGATTTTTTATTTTCATTTTCATTATTCCTTTAAATTTCTCACCTTAACTCTTTGCCTCACATTTGGTTAGTCAAATTTTGGTCTCTCGCAAACAAGATACACCTGATAACAATCTGGAATGTCACAACAAAGGGGCTTCATACTGTTATACATGAAATATTTAAATTTTTGATTTTGAATCAGTTTGTTAAAGTGCCTGAGTCTAGAGTCATTCGCAAAATGACAGTCTTACCAATTTGAAGTTAATCTACAGCACAATTAAGTGTATAAAAATTACTTTTTTTTCTTTTTTTTATTTCCCCTTTTCCAGTCTTGCCGGAATAGTCATACTAACTACTGCTGCCTGTAGCTTCAATTTTACCATGCAGACTAATATGAGTCCAATATCAAAATTCTCATCTAACTCTTTCCATTTTTCACAAAAATGTTGAATTATTCCCTAAATGTTATGCTGTTTTTCCAGAGACTGAAATGTTGACAGAGTGCATAGTTTGTGGTATATGTCCTCAGGCCTGATCCCAGTGCATGCTGTGTTTCAGAGGTTACTATGTGGTCGTGGTCCCGCTGAAGAAGCAGAGAGGAGGGAAGTTCCTGAATCCCTGGGAGGAGCCCGACCAGATGAACTTGGATGAGGTGAGACACGTAGCAGACAGGAGATGACGCACATAAATCGCTACATAACAGTCAGAATAAAGGGCTTGTTAAAAGATAATTCTGATAATAAGGGAATGATGATGTTGATTGGTGTGGTGGCGATGATAACTGTTTAGTACGATACAGGACGTATGTAAATTTTAAAATCATATAAGCAAGGTTGTTGTTTTTTTGTTTTTTTTTACAGTTGTGTCAGGCTATTTCTGTCTTACTGTTTATTATGAACAGTACTTTCACATGCCTTTTCCCCCCTATAATTCCACTCCCTGACTATACCACCTCATTATGCTGCTCTGAAAGCACATTCATGTGTGTGAGATTAGTTTCAATGGAGTTTTTATGGTGCCCACTGTCCCAATGGGTAAATGTGGTGGCAATTCAGCTGATGAAGACATTTGTGCTTAGGTGATAATGATCCATACAGCCCATTGTTCCTTCACTGAAGAGGGCTTTTGTGTGGAGTAAAATGATCAATACGGTCCTTCTTTTCCAAGGTGATTTTTCGTGTAAAAATTAAAGAATACAGTGTCCACATATTAAGGAAATTATGGCTATTTTAGGAAAATGATACTGCAATTAGAGAAAGATGACAACATTACTTGCTGTATCAAAGACATTCCCTTGTCAAATTGCCCTGATGATGCACTTTGTTTGAACTCGGCACATATTAGGGGACAATTACGACCAACAACCACATTTCTCAGTTTCTGTTTTGATTCTGTCTTTGTGTCCATTCGGTCTATTTTCTCCTCCTCCTCTTCCCCCTCTCTTTTTTACGTCCCTGTTGACCCATTCTCTGTTATCTCCCCTTTCAGCTCCTCAAAGAGATCAACAGGACCAGTGTCAGTCGTGCCCTTCGCATCCGCAGACAGGCCGGTCAGTCAGATCCCAGGGCCTACGTCACAGCTCACTTTAAGACCCTCCCCATGGAGTTCACGTTAGGTGACGGCCGAAACTACGGCGACTTCCGCAACCGTCCACTGCAGAACGGACAGGAGTATGTTTTCTTTGTGCTCGCGCTGTTGGACCTCTCTGAGAATGTGAGTGCAAACGAAAACACACAGTTCGACCATCTAAGTACGGCATTTTTTAGTGAAAATGCATAATAATGTGTCTTTCTGCAGACCATGTACGCCACCAGCCCTTATTCTGACCCTGTGACCTCATCGGACGTGGATCCTCAGCCAATCGTTGACGAGGAAGAGGGGCTGCTGTGGGTGGTGGGGCCTGTGCTTGCTGTGATCTTCATCGTCTGTATCGTCATTGCCATTCTCCTCTTCAAGAGGTAAGGACAGCGTGATGAAGGCAGAGAGAAGGAAAAACTGTTCAATAAAGCATTTGATTGGTGAGAGAAAGGGGAAGGAAATCAAAAAGAGAGGGCAAAAGATTAAGAGTTTTAGAGAATAGAGAAAAAGAAAAATATTTGGAAAGGCTACTTAAGTCTTCACAGAAGGGCAACAGACTCTCTTAAGGGATTTGCTTATTTTCATTACCAATTTGACTTTTTGCTTCCCTGTGTGCTCAGTTCAAACTATTTTTTGGCAGTCTTGTACATTCCACATAATTTCATTATATTGCTTGTCTTTGGTTTTACTGTGTTGTCTTAAGCAGCAGTTCTCAGACCAACTTTTACAGAGCAAAGTAACACACAGGTTATAATTCTCTACATTTCTTATCTGGACTCTTGGTTTTAGGGGGACTTAGTTTATACATTCAAGTGCCTGTTACGCTGAAGATCGAGCCAGTTGGTTCATTACATGTTTAAATATTTATAGAGCATACAGCGCAAACATTGTTATATTTATTGCTCCTCTGCACTGCTTTGGGGTAGACAATTATCATCCCAATCTGCTTGTCTATTATACTAATCATAGTCGAATCTAGCTCACAGGTTCTTTTTGTGGGAAATGGTTCTGAAATTTGTGGGAGGTTTTTCTCTGTATTTACACCCATGTACAGGCAGAAACATTCGTTAACATAAGAGATAGGTGAAGATAACATTATCATCCATTAGCATTATTCATGATAATCATCTCAGCTTCTGGCTAGAGGTTTGTTAATGCTCATGAATAACCGCTGTGACTGATGCGGCATAGCAAAATTATTAACCTTGATGGTAATAATCGGAGCCTCATAAGCCCTGGAGTGTAACCTGTCGGCGAGCTCCAGCCAGCAATGCCTCACTTGTCGTTAAGTTGCACTTTGAGCCATTTTTCCAGTATGTCATTATGCACCAGGTGTCACAGTTCCAGGTTATAATGTGTATGCAGGGTTGTGTGAAAAGGGCTTTTGTTTTTAGATTTACACCCGCTGTTCATCTTTATGTCTACTGGAGGTGCTATTTTGCATATCTAACATCGTAATAAGAAACTGATTTGTTTAAAGGAAAAGGAGAGACTGATGAGTTCAGCATTGCTTTAGTCCCTGATGTTTTTTGATTGGACACTAATGATATTCATCCTTGTCTGTCCTTTTATCTGCTTGTCTCCCTGTTTGGATCCAGCAAACCTGACAGGTAAACAAACACTGCTTATTACCATTTCTTCTGTCCTACAGCGACATTTTCCTTGAAAAGCCTTCGCAAAGAATGCTTAACAAAATAGATAGGATTATGCTAGTGTTTCCTTAATGGCCGTATATTAACCTAAAAATGTTAGATGAATTGTGTTGTTCGGCCAGTTCAGTTTATCTATTAATGAAGATATAGTGACCATGAAAACTATTTGTAATGATTCAGACTGGAGAGCAAGGGCAAGTGTGTAGATTCTCAGTCATCCAGGTCATGGTATTCCTCCATGCTTCAGTAAAAAGCAACTGCACTTCTCTTTTTTTCATTTCACCTTTCTTTCACCTCTTTTCCTCAGAGCTGAGGAAGCATCTTGCATGAGAGGTGAAACATTTTCGAGAACTAGAAAGAAAAGGCCAGTTGCTTTTTACTGAAGCACTTATGAAAGACAAACTGCCCTGCACAGGTTTCTTCATGTCAATGATTTTTTTTTTTTAAATGAAGAATAGATATCTCCTGGGTCTCACTCATCACCATCCCAGACATTGAATTGGTCATTTTCATACAAAAATCTGCAACACGATCCCAGCAGTCAACCAAAGCTCTGGTCAAATTTGAAACAGAAATTACCTTTGAATTACAGTTATACCTGGAAATGTCTAAGGAGCAATTCTTTCTGAAGTTTATTGCTCACATAACTGATCTATTTATTTCAACACAAATCCCCAAATGTGCAGTCAGACATTAGTTAGCAAGTCCCAAATTTCCCCAGATGCATTATTATGCAGTATATTTTTAAGTACATCAGTTTGAGCTAAATTGTGTCTGCTTTTGCAGGAAAAGGGCCGAGGCTGAAGGAAGGAAGGGCAGTTTTCCCTGCAGCAAAGCCATGTCCTCCCACCATCCTACTGATCCAGTGGAGCTACGTAGAATTAATTTCCAGACTCCAGGTAGATTGGAGACTAATACATATGTACAAAACACTATATGCAGTCGGTATTAGTTGTGTTGATGAGCTTAACCGTCGTGTTGTTTCCCTTTCAGCCTACCGTGTATCAGTGTACCGCGGTTATCGGCGTTTGTCAAGTTAGTTGGTCTCAGTCCACAGTAGATCTTGTTTCTCTCTGCTGCCATTGTGTCTCCATTACTACATTTTCTTTCTTTCTTTCTTTCTTTCTTTCTTTCTTTCTTTCTTTTCTTTCTTTCTTTCTTTCTTTCTTTCTTTCTTTCTTTCTTTCTTTCTCTTTCCGCACATTCATGCTAACTAACCTTCCATTCCATATAGGATGAAGCTGCTTGAATTGGCAACATTCCATCAAGTATCTCTAAAATACTTCTTTAAAAATCCCCCCAAAAAAATCATGCTAAATTTTTAACTGCCTGTGTCATAGTCTTTTTTTATCTTTACCAGCAGTGTGCATATACTCTGAGGACATGTTGTTGTGCCTCAGTAACTTTCTGAACATGCACATTGTTCTTTCTGTCTGCCTGGAGAGAAAATGGTCACTTAACAAAAAAATAAAAAATAAAACCCACTTCCATTTGCTTCCGCCGCTGACCATGGACAGAACACTAAACAACACCTCCTTTGAGAATCCTAACTCTTAACATTTTCCTCCAAAAGAGTTCAGTTGTACGTGTATCAAAACGGCCTCTTTTTCTGTTTCTATGCTCGGCAGGCATGGCAAGTCACCCGCCCGTCCCCATCTCTGAGCTGGCAGATCACATTGAGCGCCTCAAGGCTAACGACAATCTCAAGTTCTCTCAAGAGTACGAGGTAGGAATGCTGATTATCTGTCCTTGAAAATCTCCAACTCTAACAAAATCATCTAGTTTTGTTGCGGTCACACACACATACACACACACACATATATACATATATATATATATATATAT